TCATCAGGAATGTAGGGGTGATGGGCTCTTCCACCCTTCTGAGACCCAGAGAGAAGCAGCGATTCGCAAGTCTCCTACTTTCCAAGGCTCCTACCACCACAATTTGGCTGGACTTGTTTGTGAGAAGCTCTGGGGCTCCTGGCCCAAGGCCCTCTGTGGGTCAGAACAGAATCACTACAAAGCATAATGTGACCCAAGAGCCAAAGACATTTAATTGTGGGAAGACTAGAGAGTGTCATCTGTGTGTATAACCTTCTCCCCAGAAACACTAGCCTGCATCAAGAGATAAAGTAACAAGAGACAATTCACTCCCCTGACTTTTGCAAACATGCTGCCTTTGCTGGGGAGTGACTGGAGAGGTGAAGGGAGCCCCTGGATCCATGCTGCCAGCCGACTGCCCAGGCGCTAGAAAGGCTCCTGTGTTCTCTGGCTGGGTGCATGAGAAAGACCTGCCTTTCCAGCAGGCCTTCCTGACTGGCCTTCCTAGCCAAGACTTTGGACTCACTGAGGTGCTAGTTGTCAGCCCCTGGTACCCAGAGAGCAGCTCGATTTCAGCCAGTGAGAGTCAGGTCCTGCTGGGCACAGGGCTATTATAAAAAGCGCTTTGGGAACAGAGTGTCGATCTGCTTGCCAACCCCTCCATTCAAAGTCCACTCCCTAAAGGGTCAGAAAGGAATCTGAAGAGGTTGGAAAGCAGCTGGAATGAGGGCCCCTTCCCTGATTACCATGGCCTCCAACTGACACGGAGGGCTCCCCAGAGTTCCTGGAGACGGTCCATTCTCTAATTCTGAGATTTCAGGGACGGTCACGACACAGCAGCCTTCCGTCCCTCCCAAGGTTGCTATTGAAACTCATTGAGATGCTCCTGGTCCCCCCAAGGGCTGCTGGCCTGATCCACCCTTTCAAAAGGGTGGCCCAGCCCCCACTCCAAACCCACCAAACCCAAGGCTGTGTAGATGCCAAGTCCACTAGGAGCTCAATGGAACAAAGCACTGAGGACGGACACGGGGTACAGAACCCCAGAGGAGGGGACGGGAGCGGGCGACACCGTGGGAAGTCCATGACAGGACTCACTGGGTCCTTTGTACTGGGCATCAGTGCTCCCAGCACAGCCAGCCGCTTGCATACTGATTTGTCGAAACCAGTTCATGAGAAAGCCAAATCCCAGTGGCCAGGCCACTCAGTCAGCCCTTGCTGGTATTGGAACCAGAAGAGGAAAATTAGGGAGAAAACTGGAGTTACCAGAGAAGAGACCTATTGGACTTGAAGCTTTCAGGGTTTACTTAAGGCAGCATTCTCTCTGAGGAATCCCTGGCACCATGCGCCTGCCACCTCTCCTCTTCATCATGATAGATGTCTTGATGCAGAGAACACAGGAGAGTCACAGACCCACAGCCTCTGGCTGGAGGTGACTATAGACCTGGGCCACTACCACCCCTCACGCCGCCTGCTGCACAGGAAGTCGGAGCCTTGGGGAGGTGAGCTCTGCCCAGAGGCCACTTTGACCCACATCTGCAGGCCAGACTGTGAGATCTGAGCACCAGTTACACCAACTGCTTTCCCGGTTCCCTCTTCTCCAGGAGAATCCTGGTTCCACACTCCTGCCTGCCCCTTCACCACCCCCACACCTGTCTGCAGCCCTCCCAACTCACAGCATTGCAGGACAGCCACCTGGGTGGTCAGGCACTTTCACGACACATGCGTCCCACAACGTGGCATGGCCTGCCCACTTCTGCAGCCCCAGCTGTAGTCACCCCCACCCCCAGCAGCTTCCTCCTTGCAAGAGAGGGTGCTCTTTCACACCCTCGAAACTCCTCAGCTGCTAAGACCACTAGTGGGCTCCCTGCCCTCCCTGTATCTGGAAAGCTGCCCATGCTCCAAGCCTCAGCTCCAACACCACCCTCTGGGGTCTTCCTTGGGACGTCCTCGCACCAGGCCCAATTTTGATCCCCGCACTTGTCACCCTTCATAGAGCTGGCTCATCTGCATGTTTATTTCCTCCTTCTGATCTGCCCTTGCAACAAATGTCATAGGGGAAATACCCACATAGGAAATAGTAAGCCTGCTGGCAGAGGCCCAACTGTGAATGCTTTGAAGATGGTTCAGTCTGAGGAGGGACAGGCCCAGGCTTAAGAAAAGCAGATCGGTTTCAGCTGGAAGTGCCCCTCTCCTTCAGCAGAAAGGAGCTGGAGGAAAACTTCAATTCTCCAAGCCAGGACTGGCTCCACAGACACATGCCTGTGTCCATGCTCAGATCCAGAAGGGCTCTGTGCTTGGTCTGAGGCTCTGCTGTTGCCACACTGAAATTCTTAATAAGTTTTGAACCAAGGACCCGCATTTTCACTTTGGCCTGGGCCCTGTAAATTACAGAGCTGGCTCTGCCCCACGGGCTCCAGCGCTCTCACAGCGCTCTCTTCTCATGACCTGGCATGGACCTTGCGAGAGCATCATGTCCAGCTATGACACGCAAGTGGCTGCCCCTCTGTGCCAGCTTGTCTTCATCCACAGAGAACAAAAGTCCCAGGGCCCTTGCAGTGCTACCAGGGACCATGTGACCAGGCCCCTTGACAGCAGGACTGGTGACAGGGGCAGCAGGAGCCAGTGTAGGGGCCTGCCACGTGGACAGGCCACGGGCCACAGGCCCCTGAGGGAGGCCCCCGCCCAGGCTGTCAATGGGGAGGATGTGAGAGGGCACGGTTCTTATAGGCTCTATAAGGCCTATGGAAGTGTTTGAATGTTTTCTTTACGTTTGTGAAATAAAATGCCATTTAAAATAGCTTTTTGAGATGTGGTACATATATACAATGGAATATTACTCAGCAACCAAAAAAGAGAAACACATGTCTTTTGCAGCAACTTGGATGGA